TATTATTTTGAACAATACTGTAAATAAAAAACAGGAAAGTATAGTGTGGATGCTTTACAGCATCCACAGAATAAAATAAAGTGTCCAAGCTTACATACCCCCAGAAAGGTTTAAGAATAAAAAACAGCAGGGCTTCACTGCTCCAAGTGTAGCAGGTCTAAAAGAACAACTGTTAATACACAGTATATACAGTACCTGTGTTATATGAAGACCACCTTAAAACCCTGATACACACATGATATGGAACAAGGATCCCTGCTGTACCTTAACAGCTTTCTTCTTGGGCCCCTCATCATCATCAGCTGCCTCATGCTCCTGGGCCCCCTGGGTGAGATTGGTGTAGTTTGCCAGTTTATTAAATAGTGATGACACCATGGGATTGCTGTCCATTTCCTCCTACAACATAGAAAAAGTTTTTTTTAACATGCTAGGCAACATCAGCATCAGATGCTTTCATTTAGTATCATTTGTTTTAAAAGTACTTTTTCCTACTTAATATTAATTTATTCTCATGTTACAGTATCCATGCTTTAATCAATGTGCACAATATCTTAAAAAAAAATTCTTTCAAATTTAATTTGGCCTTAAGCTGCTTAGTTACCATATTATTTGAAGGACAAGGAAGACAATGAAAGGTACAGTTCTCTAACTGTTCATCTTATAACAGCACGGCAGCATCAGCGCCACACAGAGTTGTGGAAACAGAAGTCTAATTGATTCTATACAAGGACCAATGACCAGCAAGGTCTGCCAAATGGCAGAGAAAAGCACCTGACAAAGGGTGTCCTGAATTAATTTAAAGGAACACACCAGCTATTGTGGCAAATAAACCCTCTGATTGACGCACTGTGGATCAGAGCCTGGTGCTTTCACCTCCTTGTGTATTTCTGATTTAGTTCAGCACTGTTTACCCTGACTATACTTTACTATATGGTGTATTAATGAATTATTGGAGCTTCACAGGCAAGGTCTAATTTAAACTGGAGATATAAACTCACCAGCCACTTTATTAGGTACACCTGCATCTAATAGAGGTCTAGCTGGAGCAGAGTAATGTACGTGCACAACACACCCTCAGAACTACAGAGTCAACAAAGGTCTGATACAGCCAATATTTGTATCTGGATGTGTGAATGCACCATGAGGGCTACATCCAGTTGGAGATGATGAAAACTGTTGGATGGTTACCTCAAAAAGAGCCATGTTGGTGCCATCATAACTGTTGCTTTTGTCGTCAGAGTTGTTGATAAAGGGACTGTTTTCCTTCGGGACACCATCACCTATGGAAATACAACACAGTTGTTTCTTTAGAAGGAATGCAGTTCAAGTTGATCCTGTCATGTAGCCCAAAACCATCAATCCATTTTCTATACCACTTATCCTGAACAAGGTAGCGGGGAGATCCAATCCCAACTGACATTGGGTGAGAAGCCCAAAAATCAAATGACAATCACTCAGTTCTAGGTATGCATTGTTTTTTGGAAAATTATTACTATCTTCCTTATAGTTGCACAGTGCACATTACATTAAACCTAAAATATACAGTATATAAACCAATTAAGCAACTGCATCAGGAAAATAATTAGCATGAAACAAGAGCAACACAATTTCATGGTCTGTCAAGTTATAGAAAAGTTACATTTATCTGCTGGGAAACTAATATGCTGTAAAAGAATGCAACTGGAACTCATTTTAGACTCCTACCCTTTGTACTATGGGCCAATAGATGTCACAGCTCTTAAGATCTTGTATTAAAACCAAACATGTTCTCTTATGGCCTACTATGATGACCTTAAACGTGTCCCAACATCAGCCACCTTCAAGTCTAAACTGAAAATGGCTGTTTTCTTGTCCTATGTCTGATAGATTTCTCTGCTACACTTTGGTTTCCCTGTGTTACTGTTGGGGCAACCTACAGTCGTGTTTCAAACCTTTTATTCTGAAGGTGCAACTAGGGGTCCTGTGCTGAATACTGTATGTTCATTTCGTTGGCTGTGTTCTGGTTTCTCTCAGTCTGATTACCCTTAGCCTTAAAACCTGAGGTCTGTAGTGGGAATTAAATGGTAGCACCCTTTTAAGCTTATTAGCTGTTGCTTTGTAGTCTAGTACCCATTGTAGTTTATTGGGCACCATCTTATCTTGTGGAACTTTTGTATAATCCATCGCGGTGCCTCAGATCAGCTTCTTCTGGAGGCACCCAGGGCTAGGCGTAAAACAAGGGGGGATAGAACCTTCGCTGTGGTGGGTCCAAACCTGTGGAATGCTTTGCCGCTTTATATTAGGCAGGCCCCCTCGCTGTCTACTTTTAAATCTTATTTGAAGACCTACTTGTATTCATTGGCATTTGGCCAGGAATGAGACTCTGTCTGTAGTGTTAGAGTGTTTATTTTATTGTTTATAGTTTTTTATATGTTGATTTTACATTTGTATGATATGTTAAGCGCTTTGGTCAGCTGTGCTGTGGTAAAGTTCTATATAAATAAAGTTGAGTTGAGTTGAGTTGAGTGTATTGGCTGTGGCTTTGTAGCCATGGTATGCAGGCATTTGTGTGACTGCTGGACCAGATGGCTAGGATCCTGTATTAACTGGTATCCGTTTGCCCATCTGTTTGCAGCATCCACACTATGTTTTCCTCTTATTTATTAGTGTGGATGCGAGCACACTCTTGTTATCCTCTTCTTTATTATTATTATTCTGGGTTCTTCCATCCGTTTTTGGCACCTAATTCCTTAAGCATACTTTAACCTGGAAGGACCATTGACATATCAAAATATTCAGCTTTTGAAGGACATGAGTGCTTGTATGCAACTTTTTTTTATAACTTTTATACTTTTTAATAAAATCAGCTTTTTTCAGCACATTTTGCCCCATTCAAATGAATGGGAAAATTCATAACTACCATTTACATTTTATGTCTCATTTCAATAGCCACACTCTACTATTTCTGTGTGTAGGACTACTCTTTCTTTCTCATACACACAGACACACAAACACCTACACACCCACACAACCCTACTTGTTTTACCTATTTTGTGGGGACCAGTCGGAAAATGTTCGCATTTTAATAGGTTAAATCAGCTAGAAAAGCCATTCTGGTATCAAAATGTTCAGGTTTTTCAGGACATTGTGGCATGTATTCAACTTTTTTACACCTTTCATACTTTTGAAAATATTCAGCATTTATTCAGAAAATTTTGCCCCATTCAAATGAATGGGGAAATTCAACTTCAGCATACTTTCAGCTATCACAATGTTCAGCTCTTCAAGGACATTCATGCTTCTCTTCAAAATTTTTGTAAACCTCATACACTTGAAATATTTAGCTTTATTTTGAAAATGTTGCCCCATTCAAATGAATGGGAAAAATGTTCACATCTTACTATGTTAAGCATACTTTCAGATAGAAACACCATGTCAACTGTTAATCGGCAATTCTTCAGCAATTCATAATGTAAACAGCTGTTTATCTTTTATGTTTTTTTTGCATAATTGATGTTTACATTTTATATTTCATTTCAATAGCCACACTCTAGTAGTCCTCAGTGTAGGACTACTCTCTCTCTCTCTCTCTCTCTCTCTCTCTCTCTCTCTCTCTCTCTCTCTCTCTCTCTCTCTCTCTCTCTCTCTCTCTCTCTCTCTCTCTCTCACACACACACACACACACCTGCTTGTTTTACCTACTTTGTGGGGACCAGCAGGAAAATTTTCACATCTTAAGTTCAGCATACTTTCAGGTAGAAAAGCCATACAGGTATCAAAATGTTCAGCACTTCAAGAACATTATTGCTTGTATTTATTACACCTCATCCTTCAGAGTACTCAACACAGAACTTCTGCCATTTCTTCTCATCCTTCAGCTGTTTCAGCAATTGATTTCGGGCATTTTCAGGATGATCTTTCAGCTCATCAGCATCCACATGCATTTTCAACAGGAAGTGCATTTCTCTATGTAACTGTCCAAATGACAGGTTTCATTTGACGTGTGGGTTTATGTTTGTTGTTAATGGTGAGAGTATTACTTTTGTTGGTAAAGAGGTTTATTTTGAGGGGCAGTGTGTCAACCATGTGACCGGAGTTGAGTGAAGGGCATCAATGTGGCATTATGGGACAGAGACAACATGGACAGAGAAGAGACACAGCCTAAAGTTATTTTTTGCACATGGTTTTAGAGGCGCAAACGGTGAGGTGTATATATGTTGTATTTGTGCTTAATGTTGTTCATGTGCCTGTATTTGTATATATTTAAGATTCTTTGTTATTTTGTCTGTAGTTTTCACAGTGTCTGAGGAAAGAGAGAGAGAGAAAAATAAAACTTTCTGAAGACATCTGTACGAAGCGTGGCGATCCTAAAAACTAGAACTAAACCAGTGAAGTTACACTCTATTATTGTGTGGATCCTGTAGCATCCACACTATGTTTTCCTATGTTTTCCTCTTATTGAATGGATGCTGATTCAGCATCCATACTGTTAGAATTGGATTTAAAGAGTTGCAGTTGTTTTATTTACTATCAGTATTATTTTGCATTTATAATGATAAAGTTTATTATGACTGTTTATGTTTTATTAGCAATCCCATGTATTAGTATTAACCTTACTATTATACTCGCATAAAAGTTATAATTTTCAGCTGAAGTTCAACTTGTAGTGTCACTTATTTTCTAAGATGGTTGTGCAAGAGCAGATTGCATTAGATAAGTGTCATGTCAGCTATAAGATAAGACCCTGTTAACGTATGCTATTTTACAGACGTGGAAGTATAGCAGCTTGAACTTTTCACCCATGT